GTTATGTGGTGCACCAATGCAGGGAAGTTTTATCTATTCAAATAGCCGTGTCCCTAGGTAAAAGGACGACCCGAAGTTATACCTTGACCTTATGACAACTAGAACCAGATACTTAATAAAACAGACCCAGACAAGTTCCACAGACAACCCAGTGATCGCTTTTCCACAGGGCGACGAGGGGAGGATCGCCGGGTAGGAGTATGCTATGCGATGCTACTTGGAGGACTTCAATCTACTCTCTTCTACATGCTGCAAGATGGAGGTGGCCAGAAGCGTAGTCTTTGACAGGATTAGCTATCCCCCTCTTATTCTGGCATTCTGCAGTTCAGTCCACCGATATGGCCCTTTACACATATACCCATGCATATGTAGTGTAGCTCCTTGCTTGCGAGTACTTTGGATGAGTACTCACGGTTGCTTTCCCCCCTCTTTTCCCCCTTTTCTTTTTACCTGGTTTTCGCAACCAGATGCTGGAGCCCTGGAGCCCTGGAGCCAGACGCCACCGTCGACGATGATTCCTACTACACTGGAGGTGCCTACTACTACGTGCAGGCTGCTGACGACGACCAGGAGTAGTTTAGGAGGATCCCAGGCAGGAGGCCTGCGCCTCTTTCGATCTGTATCCCAGTTTGTGCTAGCCATCTTATGGCAACTTGTTTAACTTATGTCTGTACTCAGATATTGTTGCTTCCGCTGACTCGTCTATGATCGAGCACTTGTATTCGAGCCCTCGAGGCCCCTGGCTTGTATTATGATGCTTGTATGACTTATTTTATTTTAGAGTTGTGTTGTGATATCTTCCCGTGAGTCCCTGATCTTGATCGTACATGTTTGCGTGTATGATTAGTGTATGATTGAATCGGGGGCGTCACAAACACTCTCCCACCTCGAGACTTGGCTGCGCCGGAAGCTCAAGGCTTCGTACCTAGGCCTCGCCTCCCTCGAGAGATCTATTGCACGGCAGCGGGTGCGCCTTTCCTGGCTACGTAGCGATGACGCCGTGCTATCCTACTACAAGATCCATTCGGCCCACGACGAGCCTCCAGGTGGGCTCCAACACCGTCACCGATCATGACGCCATGGTTGACGCCGCCTTCGACCACTTCTCCGAGGTGCTCGGCACCGCTGGAGAGCGCGATATCACGCTTGATCTCCATGCTCTCCAAGTTCTGCAGTTCGACCTGCTTGTGCTTGACGCGCCATTCACCGATGACGAGATCTGGGGCGCCATCAAAAGCCTGCTGGCCGGCAAGGCGCCCGGCCCCGATGGCTTCACCTCCGAGTTCCTAGTTGCTTGTTGGGACATGATCAAGCACGACTTCTGTGAAGCTTTCGACAAGCTATACTCCATGAATGAGTGAAGCTTTCAAAATCTCAACGAGGCGCTACTCACTTTGTCCCAAAGCGTGCGGACGCGAGATCTCTCTATGACTACCGGCCGATTAGTCTCATCCACATTTTCACCAAACTTGCCGCGAAGTTGCTCACCCTTCGGCTGGCTCCTCACCTGGGATCCATGGTTTCCACTATCCAAAGTGCATTCATCAGAGGACGGTGCATTCATGACAACTTCATGCTCATGCAGCAAACGGACCGTCTCCTCCACAACCTCAAGCTGCCACGCATGCTCCTCAAGCTTGATATCGCACGGGCTTTTGACAGAGTGTCCTGGCCATTTCTCCTCTAGGTCTTGTCGCACCTTGGCTTTGGGCCACGGTGGCGCGAGTGGATCTCTATCCTGCTATCTACGGCCTCGACGAGGGTGCTCATCAACGGTCACCCAGGCCCCCCGATCGACCATGCCCATGGCTTGAGACAGGGTGATCCGGTTTCACCCATGCTCTTCCCGATTGTGATCGACGTCCTCAACACTATGCTGCTTCGCGCCGTGGATACTGGCCTCCTCCATCGCCTCACCACTCGGCATGCGGCATCCAGCATATCTCTCTACGCGGACGACGACGTTGTTTTTTGTCATCCGGACAACCATGACATTGCTGTCGTGCGCACCATCCTCCATGTCTTCAGCAGAGCTTCCGAGTTGCACACCAACTTCAACAAATGCTCGGCGACCCCGATCTAGTGCACTGACGATCACATCGCCACCATCACCTCCGAGATGCAGTGTCCCGTGGCACACTTCCCCATCACCTACCTCGGGCTGCCTCTTGCCGTCCACAAGACTTGCTCGACGAGTTTGGAGTCGATCTTCGACAAGCTTTGCCGCAAGTTATCCACCTGGCGCGCCTCCATGCTATCCCTAGGAGATCGCCTTGCCCTCATGCAGCATGTCCTCTGCGCCATCCCTATGCATTTCCTCACGACCATCACCTTCAACAAAACGGCCATCAAGAAGGTGAATCGGATCATCCGCGGATTCCTTTGGGCGGGACACAAGGAGGCCAACGGAGGCCAATGTCGTGTCAACTGGCAGCGGGTGTCCCGCCCCGTCTCTCTCGGCGGTCTTGGCATTCGTGACATCTACCGGATGGGCTTGTCTCTACACGTTCTCTAGCTTTGGCTCCAGCGCATGAACCCCTCACGACCATGGAGCCACCTCCCCATACCACACGACACCGACGCGAGCGCTATCTTCCGCGCCTCCACAAGCTGGCAGCTTGGCTCGGGCGACACTTGTTGCTTCTGGACAGACCACTGGATCAATGGCAGATCCGTGGCTGAGATCGCCCCTCTCGTCTACACTCTCGTTCCGCGCCACCTCTGCAAAGACCGCAGTGTGCGAGACGGCCTTCACCTATGTTCCTGGGTCCAGGACATTCGAGGCGCACTTGGCCTGGCAGCCATGGTGCAATAAGTTGACCTTTGGCGCCTGGTGCGCCACACACCGCTCTCCTCCACGCCAGACATGCTCTCCTGGCGTTGGATCGCTTCTGCCACGTACTCTGCGAGCTCTTGCTACAAGGCAATATTCTTTGGCGCGTACGAGGACCCTCACTAGCGCCTCACCTCGCGGCCATGGGCGCCCCTTCGCGTCAAGTTCTTCCTTTGGCTTGCCATGCAAGACCGCTGCTGGACCGCGGAACGGCTCGCTTGTCACGGCTTGCCGCACGAGGACACGTGCGCGCTTTGTGATCAAGAACGCGAGTCCATGCATCACCTCCTCATGGCCTGCTCGTTCTCCCGTCATGTTTGGCATGAGATCCTAGGCTGGGCTCGCATGGCCATCGACCTTCCGACTGCAGACACCCCCTTCCAAACCTGGTGGTCCTCCTGCCTGGACTGCTCACCGGCCCCCGTGCGTAAAGGCCTTTCTTCCCTCATCATTCTCACACGTGTGGTAGCTCTGGAAACACCACAACGCGTGCATCTTCGACCGAGCCCCTCCATCGCTCACCCTGTTATCCGACACCATCAAAGACGAGGGACGCCTATGGGCAAAGGCAGGCACCAAAGGGCTAGTTAACATCATCCTTGGCGAGTAGTTGCTAGTTTAGACACCTAGGGCTGAGCAGACCCCTTGTTCTAGTTTGCTCCGACGCTCGTGCACCATGCCTCTTTGTACATGGCCCTGTATGTGTTGTAATCTCATGCTACTTTCTCCTTCTATCAATACAAAGATACACAGCTTGCGTATTCGCGATAAAAAAACAAGCCGAATGAAAATAAAAATGTCTCACATAGTTTTGCAAAGAATAAAAGAAGATACATATGTTGGTTGCCAACATGAGCCCACATATGCTCAACCAAATCATTCTGCGGTTGCATGTGAGTTTCCCAATCATGCATGTTTTGATGAAATTGGGTGAACTGTTCAAACGTTGCCGCTACTCCATGCTCAGGCACAACATTCTCATCCTGAAACTGAAACCCTTAATCATACAGACGTTCCGGGCACTCATCTTCTACAATCATATTATGCATGATCACACAAGCAGTCATCACCTCCCACAGTTTCTGCGTGCTCTAGGTATTAGCAGGATACCGAATGATGCCCCATCGAGATTGCAAAACACCAAAGGCACTCTCGACATCCTTCCTAGCACTCTCTTGCTCTTGGGCAAATCTTTTCCTCTTCTCTCCGACAGGGTTGGGTATTGTCTTGACAATAGTGGTCCACTGAGGATAGATACCGTTACCCAGATAGTATCCTTTGTCGTAGATGTGGCCGTTAACAGTAAAGTTCACCGGTGGGCTGTTGCCTTCGGCAAACCTATAGCAAACACCGGCGAGCACTGAAACATGTTGATATCATTGTGTGATCCAGCCATGCCAAAGAAAGAGTGCCAGATTCAGAGATCTTGAGACACCACGGCCTCAAGTATGATAGTGCAAGCCCTACCATGGCCCTTATACTCCCCTTGCCAAGCAGAAGGGCAGTTCTTCCACTCTCAATGCATGCAGTCTATGCTACAAAGCATCCCTGGGAAGCCTCTACTGGCATTCATCGCCAACAAATGGGTTGTATCTTCAGCAGTCGGCTCTCTCAAGTACTCAGGGCCAAACACAGCAATAACAGCCTTGCAGAACTTATACAGGGACTCTAGGCAAGTAGACTCGCTCATACGGACGTACTCGTCAATGAGATCACCGGGCACTGCGTATGCAAGCATTCAGATGGCGGCCATACATTTCTGATAAGAGGAAAAACCAATCTTGCCAACAGCATCCTCTTTGCACTCGAAATAGTCATCATAGCAGACCACCCCCTCTCTAATACGGTTGAAAAGATGCCTACTCATACGGAAACGGCGTCGGAATTTCTGATGTTTGAACAACGGGTTTGTTGTATCAAAGTAGTCCTTCCAAAGAAGGAAATGTTCGCTCTCTCGGTTGCGATTCAACGCCGGAAGGTGGCCCAGAAGAGGGGCCATAGCTATTCCCTTCACAAAATCATCGCAAGCTACTAGCACCAAGACAGCCCTTGGTTGCATTACCTGCATCTGCCGAAGATCGATCAGTAGCTACCCAAACCAAATTCGAATCTAGCCTCGTTTTCTATTTCCAATTGATTGGCATCTACCAAACCAGCAGCACGCGAAATGAAGGTGAGGAACCTATTCCGTTTCTGCTCCCATTCTCGTGCTGCACCTAGCTTAATTTTGAGCAAGCAATACATTACTCTGAAGCTGAAGCATACGACTGATCCATCGTTTTTCTCCTTCTTGTTGCAGCAAAAGATTGTCATCCAGTTGAGCATGTCGTGCGACAAGAGCCGGTCGAAAGCACTGACGCTGGCCTCCAGAGCTGCCGGGGTGACGTCGATGGGCATAACCGGCGACGCGAGGGACCAGCTGGAGGTGGTCGGCGACGGCATCGACCCGGTGTGCCTCGTCAGCTGCCTCCGCAAGAAGCTCGGTCACGCCCAAATCATCAAGGTGGAAGAAGTGAAGAAACCGGAGGAGAAGGAGGAGGAACCGAAGCCGGCCGTGCCGGTGAACCCGCCGCAGTACTACTACTCCCCGGCGCCGGCCGGCTACTACCACCACCACCAATACCCGCCGCACATGGTCGTCTGCGAGGAACAGCCTAGCAACTGCCGGACCATGTAACTGCCAGAGAACGATTTTGATTTTTGACATACTTTAGTTTTGTCAGCAACTATAGTTGCATACATGTACTTATAAATTAATTGGAGGAAGAAATAAATATATATTGGTGGTCGCCGAATCGTTATGCTAGGGTTAGGCGATTCTGGGGCGACAACCCTGGCGCCGCCGCCACCACTCGCCGGATC